GTGAGATCACTCCTAGGCTTGGGGGAAATCTAGAGGCCACTGAGGGAGGTTCAGAAGGACCAGGCTCAGGGACAGCAGCCCTGGCACTGTGAACTTCATCATCTCGGCAGATCTGTTCAGCAGGCTGCGTGACGGCAGCATCAACCCCATTTTACAGGAGAGAAAACTGAGGCCAGGACAGGTGACACACTCAAGGCACGAGGCTAGGGACAGGAGTCAGGCTTCAGCCCAATCACTCTACCTTCTGTGCTCTTTTCCTATCCCCAAGTTGCTTCTCAAGGAGAAGGACTTTAAGGGCTTGTCCTCTTTGCCCTGTTTCCAAATATGGACTTTGTTCCCTGCTCTTCTGTACACTCCCACCACCTTTAGGAGCTGGGCCTCTGAGGGCTCAGAGAGGGTGGCCAGAAAAAGGCAGGGACCAGAGCAGACAGGAGCCCCAGATTCTGGACTACACCCTCTCTCGGCCCCAGCCTGCATCTGCAAGTTCATAAATTCCATTATTCATCAAGTGATTGCATGAGTTTGCCTGGACGATGAATATTTTATTCACCTCCAGACACTGTCCCCAGCGGGTTCTTGGAACAATATTGTTCTCCAGCCAAGGAGCAGAGGCCAGAGCCTCTGCTGTCACTGGACACCCCCTCCCTGCCACCTGTACCTCCTCATCTCCCAGGACCTTCTCTCCCAGCAGGCCCCTTGGTTCAGGCAGCGCTGCAGTCAGTGGTCTAGGCATGACCTTGGACTTGGTGCTTACCCGCCCTCCACTTTGATTTCCTCCTCTGGACAGTGGGTTCATGGATCTCTTTGGCAGGCTGTCCAAGGGCCCTCTGCTATATCATCTTCCCCTGAAGGACCCTGGGTCCTTCTGGGAGCTCTCCCTGGTGCTGAACACAGGTGGCAAGATGCTGGTGTGGGATGAGAGGTCTAGGAGGGGCCTGTGCTGGTCTTGAGGAGAGAAAGTTCCAGTGTCCTGGGGGGAAGATCCCAGTCTCGGGAGGATAAGGACCAGGCCGGTCCTTGGAGAAAGGAGTTTGGTCCCTGGACCTGTAATTCCCCCTTGCCTTTCTGCCACTTGGGGAAACCCAGAGTCACAGGTTTCAGTGGATCACCTTTCCTGTTATCTCTAGCCCCCTGAGCCAAAGATTAGTAGGTGAGGTCCATTGAGCCTCTTCTTGGGGAGGCCCAAGGCCCGCACATCTTCCGGTGGGCACCCAGGGAGTGCAGTGTGACAGCGGCAGCACCTTCCCCAGATGGGGGAGCGACAGACATAATTCACACCCTGAAATCATGCCATCTGCTCCCATGACGTGTAGAGGAGAGGACAAGACTGCCCTGCCGCAGGGCGGGTGGGTGAACAATCATTCCATTCAATGTCTCATTCATTCATTCAACAGATCATCTTCCCAAGCTCAGTTCAGCCCTGTGCCAGCTATGGGGAATGGGAGACCCCGGAGGATGCAGACCCAGACCTGGCCCTTCTGAGCTTTTGCCCACTCTGGTTCCTCTCCCTGGGTATCAGATTTGTAATAAGAGCCACCAGATTCTGTGTTCTGAGCACTTTACATGCAGGATCTTATTGTTCATTCAAGGGCTAGATGCATTCCCATTGAATAGATGAGTAAACTGAGACTCAGAGAGGTCACACAGAAAGCTCTGCTTCTCCATGTAGAGCTCTGACTGCTCATGACACTCACTGCCTCCCGACTCCTCGTCCAGAGACTTTTCAAATCCTGCCACCATGTTTCTCTCTAAAAACACCTCCCCCAGCCTTTCAGCAGAGCACATGAACTCCAGTCTTGCGATACTGCTCAGCCCTCTGACCCTTGCTTTGTGAGTCCAGGTGGAAGCAGCTCTATCCTCTGAGTTCTGGCCTGAGATGTAGGGCCTGGCACCCAGGGTCTGCCCAATGAACCTTGGTACACAGCAGCGGAGGGCTGAGGAGGTCAACAGTGGTTCCCAGAGGCAGCAGGGCTCCAGCTGAGCCTGGGAGAGCACAGAGAGATCAGCATGACCCAGCCTGCTCCCTGAAGTCCCTGTGTCTGACCTGGACTCCAATCCCCCAGCTCTGCCTGTGGCTGTATAGCCCAACCTGGTCCTTTCGGCTCCCTCAGCAGACATGTCCTTGCCTGTGAACGGGGGCAAGGCATGATAATGGGGGCTGGACAGTCCCATGCACAGCCCGAGGGTGTCCCATGTATTCCCCAAGGAGTCAGAAAGAGGAACAGATACAGCTGTGGCATGTGGAGGTGTGGTGCTGACCAGCAGCCCCCACTGTGTGGAAAGCCAGCATCATGGGCTATGGCTTTGCATCAGGCGAGAGGACAGGGACTGAGTCACCAGGGGACTGGGATGACAAAGATGGCCCAAATAGTGGGGTGCACCACAGAGTTAGAGCTATAATCCCCAGCAAGCCATGCACTTTTGGCCTGGAAGGAGATGGCCTCGGGGAGTACCCTGGTCACAGGACAGACAGTCAGACCCCTTAGACCAGACAGACCAAGGCCAAAATCTGGGGGGAGGCTCATGTCTCCATGGATATCCAGATCCTCCCTTAGGACAGACTCACAGGGCCTGGCCATCCTCGGGAGGCTCACTTGATTTGTGCTTGATTCACTCAGGGACTTTTTCTGTCCCTTCTTTTTGAAAATTCCCCACCCGGGTGGCAAAGCCAGGAGCTGCAGAGGACTCAGGGGGAGCTGCCCCTCCATCAGGCGAGTGCCAACGTGCTCTGCAGCAGCCTCCCAGGGAGTTGCCGGGAGCTGAGTTTCCTGCCAGCCCCTCAGCCCTCCCTCAGCCCAATTTCCAACTGGCTGGCTGGGCCAGGGCAGCCTGGACACTCAGCAAACTGAGTACTACTGCAGCTCATGCTCTCAATCAATACTCAATGCTATAATTATTATTAATTCATATTCCTGGGGGGTTCATTCTAATAAGAAACTCCCAAGAGATGGAGGAAGGCACTCATATTTTTTTTTAATTTGTTCATCCTCATTGCTGCCTGAGGGTGGCATTGCCACTCTCATTTCACAGGTGGGCAAACTGAAGCCCTAGGAGGTTAAGGGGCATGATTAAAGTACTATGGCAAAGAGGAAGCAGAGGGAGGAGCCAGGTCTGAATTCTTTCTTCCTCCCCTCTCTGCTGCATCAGAAACCCCAAAGGAGCTCAAGCATTCAGTTGTATAGGTGGACAGTCAGACAATGGAACAGGTGGGAGAGGAGAGCTTTGGGGTGGGGACTTTGTGGGGCCTCTCACACCTCCAGCCCCAGGTCTTAACAGGGTCTCCCCCCATATGCCTGGGGAGACAGATAGATGGACAGCTGGGGTCTTTCCTGGATCCTCTGCAGGTTGTGGGTGCTACTGGAGTAGCCCAAGAAGTGCTGAGGCCCAGGACTGGCTTACTGAGTCCCCTCTCTCCAGGCCTGGAGACAGGGATATGATTAATCAGCGACAAAAGCAGAAACAAGCAGAAAAATTTAATCAGCTTGGGAAGGGCAGGGCCGGGCAGGGCTATGGCAATCAGCTTTCCTGCTGGGGCCTTTGGCTGATTGGACCCAAGGGGGCAGGGAGATAGTTCTGCTGGGGGCTTCACAGATAAGACCTAGACTGAGGCCAACCCAGGTCAGAAGGTCATCATCCTGTATACACCCAGGGCTCTCCCAGCCCAAGGACTTGCACATCTGGCCCCACCTTCCCATAGGCTCTTGCCCCTTCCCCCTCCCCTGCTAGTTCATAACCATGGCATACACAAGTGACCAACACTCCTAACACTCATCCATCTAAACGTAGATGGAAAACACATGTACGAACACTCGGTGGCACATGTACACTTTGAGAAAAAAGATATACGCATGCACATGCTGCTCCCTCAAACACTTGCCACCCCCCACCCCCACCCCCACCCCCACACGCACACATGCTCTGGGCCTAGGGAAGCCCTGCATGCACATTAGGTGTGACTTGCAGCCACCTGAACACACAGGCCCTCACACCAGACCCCACAGGCTCGAGGCCCCATCTCTGTCCCTCCCTGGCCCTGAGGCCATGAGACAGATCAGGGCTCCCCATTTGCAAATGGAGTGACAGAAGCTGGGGAGGATCCAGGACTGGGGCCCCATTCTGGGGAACAAGGTCAGCTGCTAATGTCAACCACAGGACAAGGAAACCTGCCCCAGACCTGTCCCCTTCTCCTGCCTGCTGCCCACATTCTATGACCTTGGTCAACGTCCTTCTCTCAGCCTCAGTTTCCCTACCTTGAGCTTCTCCTGGCACCAACACCAGGCTACTTCTTGAGGAACCAGGCATCTGGGACTAACCTCACCTTTCTGGATCTCTGGTCCTCAGTTTCCAGGTCTCAGCTCCTGGGGGAGGGGGGCAGGGACTGTGGGGGAAGGTGGGTCAAGGGGTTCGAAGGAAGGGCCCCATCCTAATTCACCCCCATCCTGGTCCTGGTGGCTGCGAATGTGAGGTGTGGGAGACGAGAAATCTGAGGGAGACCTACGGGAAAAAGGAGAATCCGGGGCCGAGGGGAGGATGGAGCCCGGGAGGGCTTGGGGCGGCCGCTCAGGGGCCGGCGGCGGGCAGGGGCGGGAGGGGGGAGCGCGGAGGGGGCGGGCAGGCGGCGGGCGGGGGAGGCGGGGAGCGCAGCTAGCGCGGCACAGAGCGAGCGAGCGAGCGAGCAGGAGAGGCGGCGAGAGCCGGAGCGGCTGGCCGGGCGGCCGCGCCGGCGAGCGGACGAGCAAGCGGCGAACAGCGCGGAGCGCGCGGGGCACTGAGGAGCGGGCGCGGCGGGCGCAGCGCGCGGCGGCCGGAGCCGAGAGGCCGGAGCGGCGCCGCCCCCGCCGCCCCTGCGGGGCCCCGGCTGGGAGCCCGAGGAGGGAGGGGGCGGCATGGCCCGGCGGCCCGGGGCGCGGGGGCGTTAGGCCCCCGGAGGGGCGCCCCTAGCCTCGCGCCGCCGTCCTCCGCAGCCGCGCGCCCCGCCCGCTCCAGCCGCCCCGGGGGCCACCGGCGGCCCATGAGCCCCGGCCTCAAAGTTTGCGGCGGGCGGGCGGGCGCGGAGCCTCCAAGATGCCGTTCCACCCGGTGACGGCGGCGTTGATGTACCGGGGCATCTACACCGTGCCCAACCTGCTGTCGGAGCAGCGCCCCGTGGACATCCCTGAGGACGAGCTGGAGGGTGAGTGAGTGCCCCGTCGGGACCCCTGCCCGCCGGCCCTCCTACCTGTGCGCCCAGGTGAAGCGCCGGCGAGGGGCGCAGCGGGGCGGGGGGCTGTCCGCAGGTACCGGCAACCAAGTGGACCGCTCCAGCGAGCAGCTGCGCGGGAGGCAGGATCGGTTCGCACCCCTGGGCGCCGCGGTGAGGGTAGCCGAGGCGGAGGGGCGGCCCAGCCCCTGGCCGCGTGGTCCCCTGCGCTGCGGAAACTTGCCGGGCCCCGCAGCAGGGTCACCGRGCCGCGCAGCCCGCGGTGACGGTGCGGCAACGCGGTGGACTGGGGTGGGAGTCCGAGCTACGCCCCCCGCGCTGGCCGGGCCAGAGTACCCGCATCCCGATCCCCTCCGCGGCGCCCGCCCGTGGCTCTGCGCTCGCATTGACATTCCGCTCGTGTCGCTTTAAAAATCCAATCTGCTTGGGCAGCCGGAGAAGGGGAGAGGGCGACTGCCCTGCTCTTGCGGGTTGTGGGGCTTCCCCCAGCCCCTTCTGAGGCGGTAGCCCCTTCCCCTCAGCTCTGCGGGGACCCCCCAGCCCGGAGCGCCCGGAAGGCGGCCGGGGAGGCGGTGGCGACAACAAGTGGCCGGATTGGGCGGCTCAGTCGCGATAGCCAAGCTTAGAAGGGAAAGGCAGAGAGGCAAGGACCCAAACCTGCCCGTTACCCCAGTCCCTCGGCCTCTCAGACATGAATGGGGACCGCAGGCAACTGTCTAGAAGAAATCAGAACAGGCGACCGCAGCTGGGGTCCTCAGAAAGAGTGTTCTGGGGAGCAGTAAGACCCCTAGGGCCTGCCCAACTCTTTCTCTGCTGAGGTGGGGGGAGGTGCTCATGATTCCCCTCCCCCAGACCTCCTGGTGCCCCATATGGAGTGGAGTTGGGGGCTCTTGGCTGATGGGAGTCTTGGCCTCTTAGGATCTGCTTGTCTGCTGCTGGGGGAGGGGCTGAGATCACCTCAAGGATGAGCCTCTCTGGGTATCTTGGGTTGAAGGGTCTCTCAGATCTGGGGTCTCATTAGGGCCGATTAATGTACAACCTAGGGAACAGTGCAGTTAGGGATGGTGGTGGGAAGCCATGAAGGGAGTTCCCTCCAGGTCCCTAAGCTGGAATGGGGCAGATCTTTGGGGAGTCAGACTGGGTCTGGGGAAGATCCAGAGAAGGCAGACATCATCACACTCACTGCACCACAAGACCAGGAGCCACCTGCTCCTCACCAACAGCCCACACAAACCCTTGGGTTCTAGGAAAGCTTTGGAGACCAGGTCTGAGCTCTGGTGCAGGCAGGACAGATGGAGGGACACTGGTTTCCCTGCCCTGTCCTTATCATTCATTCCCAAAGCCCAAGTCCCACCCTCTCTAGACCAAAGCCCATGGTTCAGAGCTTCCTCTAGGGCCTGGGAAAAGAAGGGGGCATGATGAGGGGCAAGAGGCAAGGGAAGGGGCATAGGCTATCTTTTTCCCATCTTCATTCCCTCCTGCCTTGGGCCAACCAGACCTCCTGCCCGTTTCCCCCTCCAGAGACCCTCATCCTGGTCATTTCCTCCTGGTGACTCAAACAGGGGGCCACATGCTTCCCCACACCCCAGGCAGCTTCTACCTCATTCCCTTCCCTTGCTCCAAGCACCTCCAACATGACCCTGGCACCCCAGCTCTAAGCCTCATTGGGTCCCTCCTTCCCTGATCCTCAATCCTGGAGTGCATGCTCTGAGAGAATCAGAGAGCCGGCTGGGATGCAGGGGTGAGTGGGCCACAGGGTGGGCAGTCCAGGGGCAAGGAGGCTGCAGGCTCCCCTTGGGCCACCTAGACGACATGTTGGCAGGAGCCCAGCGGCGTTAGTCACCATCACACCAAACACACTCCCTGCTTCTCTCCCGCCCCCTTCTCCTGGGCCAGCAGAGGGGCCCTAGTGCAGGGGGCACCTGAAGGGCAGGGACCTCCCTGAAGCCATCGGGTGGAGGGCATGGGACCAGCAGATACCAGGGTGGCTCTGGGCCATCTCCTGGCCTGCGGGCATCTACAGATGAAGACACAAAGACTGACTGACCCTCTTCTCCGCTGCAGGAACCTCAGAAGCCCTCGAAGGTCCTAGGCTCCTTGCAGGGGTCCTTGAATGCCAGGGCAGGGTAAAAAGAGTGGCCATCCCTGGCACCGATCCCTTTTCTGCTGCCTCTTTAGTGCTCCACTGGTGCTCCTTCCCTGGGACTGTATGGATAAGACCCAGGCCCTTGGCTGGGAGGAGGCCCTTCGTGGGGGAGCCACATGTGCCAGAAAGAGGGAGCCAGGCAGACTGGGATGAAACACTGCCGTTTGTGCCTGCCTTCACTGAAATCCAGGGGGCAGTCAGTCTGCGTGGGGAGGAAGAGGAGGAAAGGAGATGGGGAGGGCAGCCTTAGGATGAAGGCTTCCCAGCCAGATAAAGCTAAGTTCAGATTTCTGAACCCTCTGCTCATGGAGTGACCTTGGACAATCTCTTGCTTCTCTCAGCCTCGGTTTCCCTGTATGTAAGGAAGGGGTTGGTATTGCTCTCCCGGGGGGTCCTGCAGGTAGAGGATGCATTGAAAGTACGCAGGACAAGGCCTGGCAGCGTGTCAGGGGTCCCACCATCACAGCCGGGGAGATTGAAGAGGGGACGCTGGAGGAATATAAGCCTGGAGTGTGTAGTGTCCGTGAGGCGGGGCTGTAGGGTGTTCAAGAAACTGGGTGAGGAAGGCAAGCTGGGGGGCTAGGTCTGGCAGAGGCACTTGGGAACCTGTGGCCCTGGGGAACTCTGGATGGCAGTTGATAGGGTAGGGGCATGGCTGGGCAGAGCTGGCCTGGGGCCTACGCAGCCCCACTGAGGGAATGGGAAGAGCTCCGTCTCATTCCCTCTGTATGACACACTATGGCTGCGAAGCACCCCCGTTCTGCCAGGCACCCACAGCAGAGGCCTCCAGGGGTCCCAAGGCATCAGTGGGCTTGAGCACCTGAGGGTGGGAATGAAATAGCTGCAAGCCATCACCCTTTCTGGCCAGAGACAGGAGAAAAGAGTATGTAGGCAGGGAGATGGCCACCTGGGTTTTGGGGTTGTCCAGGAAGACAGTGAAGACTGCATTGAGAATGGCCAAGTGGGGACCTTCTGGGGAGGAGGAGCCTGGGTAGTCTCCTTTCTGCCTCTGGTCCCTGCAACCTGAGCCCAGCAGCCGCCTCTGCACAGGCCAAAAACTCAGGGAGGCTGAAGAGGTGGGGCGCAGGGCCAATGCCGCGGAACTGACAGCCTCTGCAGAGGATGGACACTGCCCCTTCCAGTGACCTCCATTCCGTGCCCCTTCTCTGGACTCGGGCTCTCTTGACAGAGCGCTGGTGGCCTTTGGGGCCTGCTAGGGACTCAGGCCCTGACATAACTCTACAGGTTAGGGAGGGGGCTGGGGGATGTTAGCCTGGGGTGTCAGGTGGGGTACAATGTTAGCCTGGAAACCCGGTGGCCCTGCCAGTCCATTCCTGAGCCAGGCATCCCCATGCCAAGATGGAGCACAGCAGGTTTACCCTGGCCTCATGCGGCAGGAAGGGAGCAAGGCTTTCGGGGAAATGTGCTGGGCTGTGATATGTTGATGGCACACAGTGACTGGGAGTCATGACATCTATGCCTCTCAGGGACCACCTACTCCTTATTCCGCCCCCTACACACACAGAGGCCAGGCCTCAGCTGTCAGGCAGGAGTCTCATCCCCATTTCACAGACTAGGCACCTGAGGCTCTGAGAGGGAAGTGCCTTGCCCAAGTCACCTGGCTCGGAACAGCAGAGCCAGAACCTAAGCCCAGGCCTTGGGTCCTGGCCCCAGCAGTGGGCAGACCAGCCTGGCATCCCAAGTTCTCCCTCTCCTTCTGGCTCTACCATCTGGGACAGTCTGATTTACAGCCAGGCCTGGCCAGCACTTACACGCTTGATTTTCTTGCTTAATCATCCCAGAAAGTCCCATTGTACAGGTGAGCAAACTCAAGGTCACCCAGCCAGGGTAGAGGAGGTTGGGTTTTGAACCTGGGTCTGTGTGATATCAGGATGCCTCCCTGACCAAGGAAGGTGGAGCCTGAACTGGGTCTGTGTGGGCACAGGGGCTTAGGGTGGCGGGGCTCCCGGACTGTGGTACGAACTGGTTGTGCAGTGAAGGGTGCGTGAAGAGACACGTGGATGGGGAGGTGGAAGGCTGTGGATTTACCTAGTGGCCTTGGGAGGTCAGTCATGGCCCTGGGACCTGCTGGGCTGCCTCAAAGCCTCTTGTCCGCCTGCCTTCCTTCCACTGCCTCTGCTCCTGTGTGGTGCCTTTCCTCAGGGTCTCCAGGGAAAGGAGTTGGGTTCCAGTTGAAGCAGCTCTGGCAAGGTGGAAGGAACATCCGGGAACTCAGCTCACGGGAGGGATGAAGGGGGCTGCCTCTGCAACTTTCAGTGTCCAGGGCTTTGCCAGCCCACCCTGAGATGCCCAAAGAAGCCTGTAGAGAGGGGGAGACCAAAGACTTGGAGAAACGTGGTACCCGATGCTGGGTCCCCCTGCCCCAATCAAGTCTCTGGGTCAGCGGCCCGAGGGTGGTCCTCCACCTCTGCCTTTGCTCCATTTCCCTCTTCTGTGGATGGCTCACAGGGTGGGTGAGGGTGCTGCCCTTGGAAGGCTGGGCAAGGGGACAGGCAGCCTCCTCAGCCTCCCTTCCTGCTTCTTCCGATTGCTGACTGTTAGCAGGCTCCGAGTGACGGCCTCACGTCGAGCGGTGCGGTACATGAACTTCTGCTCAGCTGCTTTCTCTGTGTGCCCCTGTGGGTGGGTCCCCACATCAGTTATTCAGTTTCGTCATTCATCCAGCAAATGTTTATGCTTGAGTGACAGGCCCTGTCTCAGGTCACGGGGATAAGTCATGACTAAGATTCCCCCGATCCCTGCCGTTACAGCAGTCATAGTTCACCATTCAGTGTGGGGGAAGAGCAGGTCTGTGGGGCCCCAGAGGAGAGCCAAGGTCAGGCAGGGGCAGGGAGGGCATCAGGGAGATGGACTGTCCAGGCTGAGAACTGGGGCTGCATGGGAGGTAGCAATAGGGAGAGGAAGAGCGTTCCAGGTAAAAGGAGCTGCATATTCCTGGAGATAGAGCAGTGCTGATGTCCAGGCCTGAGAGGGGCCCCTGGGGGCTAGAGTTCAGTACTTGGAATGGCCAGAGCCTAGGGCTGGGTTGGCACTGGCCAGAAACCCATGTGTGTTTGTGTGTGTGCGTATTTGCCCCATCTCTACCCAGAGACTCCCAGGCTCTTCAGAGTGAGCCTTGTGGGTGCCATGCCTGTTACACGCTCTGGTCAGGGGGAGCACACTGCTTCCTTGGTGGCTTAGGAAAATGCTTGGTGGGAGTTGGCCTAGAGTTTCCAGAGTCTAAAGTTTGCAGAAACCCTGGGCCTGGCCCAAATCTCTCAGCTCAGCCGTTTCCCTAGCTCCAGATTCTCAGCTTTCCTTGAAATGTACCTAGGCAACTCGAGGGGCTTCCCTGTATTTGTCTCAGACATACTTGTGAGACTCTAACCTCAGCTCAAACCATCTGGCTGTAAGCCATGGCTCCTGGTCTGTGGTAGAACCAATAGGCTGAGCTGAGCTCCCCTGTCCCCCAGAGACCAAGGAATAACCCCAAAGTGTAGGATTCTTAAAGCAGTTTTAGGATTCACAGACCCCGGCATTAAGTCCTGGATCAGCCTGTCCGGAAGCTGGCTGCCCAGCCTCTTCAGGACTCAGTGTCTAGGTGGGGAGCACGGGGCATTCCTGTGTCTCTAAGGAGTTCAACTCTGCATGCTGAAAACCCACCCATGGGACAATTTAGGCAAAGACCAGCAGGCTGCTAAGTGAAGAAAGACCTCCAGGGAACTGGAGCTAGTGGACTGAGATTTGTCCCCCAGAGGGGCCCTTTGGGGCTGTGATAATTAAAGAAGCAGAGGAGGAACAAAGGTGAGAAATTAGGACCTCATTCATGGTTCCTGGATGTCATCCCCACATAATTCCACCCATTTTGCTATGGGTGAGACTGAGGCCGGTCCAAGGTCATACTCTGCAAGTGTGTTGTTCCCCAACTAAGTGATCCAGGTTCTCAGGCCTCAGTTTTTCCCTCTGTGCAATGGGGAGGAGACTCCCACATCGGATCTAGCATGAGCCTGGTGGGGCCCCTCCACCCCACCTCTGTCTTCCCCGAAACTGGTAGGCAGTATGTGCCCAGCTGGGAGCCCATTAGCTGGAGCTGCTGCCGCCTCATGTGGCTGTCATTAGTGAGTGCTGGCCACTGTTAAGGAGCTGAGTCTTGGGAGGAAGCTCAGGAGGTGGGGATGAAGGAGAGAGAGAGATGGAAGGGGTGGGAATGAGAGGAGAAGCCCTGGCCTGGCAAGCCTGGCATCCTCCCTGTACCTACCACACGGGGGCGTCGTGAGCTCATCAGGAGAGGCTCTGGGAGCCTGGCATGCTCAGACTCCAGGGGACAGTCACCGCAAAGGGCCAGGTACTCCTTTGCAGCCTGGCTGGGCCTGCCCAGAGACCCCAGAATACAGCACCACTAGTGAACCCTTGGTCCATCCTGTGACTGTTTCTCACCAGATCTGCAGATTTTGGTTTGGTTGGATCCCAGGGGTCTGACAAGGGGGCTGTTGGGGTCAGGGTTGAGGTTCCAGACTGCTCTGCTCCCCCCACAGAGATCCGCGAGGCCTTCAAGGTGTTTGACCGTGATGGCAATGGCTTCATCTCCAAGCAGGAGCTGGGTACGGCCATGCGCTCCCTGGGCTACATGCCCAACGAGGTGGAGCTGGAGGTTATCATCCAACGGCTGGACATGGATGGTGAGCACTGGCCCTTTCACCTGGGCCCCAGGGATGGGGGAGGGTCTGGGGCCTGAGTCACTGAGGCTTAGTCTACCCTGGGCCTCTTGTTTCCCCTTCTCCAAGCTACCCCAAAGTCTGTTGCAGGTTGTAGCCAGATCTGGCCCCATTTCTCACCCTGGAGAATCGAGGCCAGATAGCCCTAGCCACATGCAGGGCTCAAAGACTGCTCTTCTCATCTCTGTAGACTGAGAAATGTGGAAAATTGAGAGTTTATAATAAATATATCCCCAGCTTCCACCATCCCAAACAAAATCATTGAGTTGTTTTTACCACTTGACATTTTATTAAGGAAAAATTCATGAGAAAGACCAATAATGCCAAGTCCCCTCTGCTTCATCCCACCAGAGACCTCAAGAGAGCAGGTCACCCCCTCCTGAGCCTCATTTCCTGCCTGTATGGTGGAGGCGATGTCTGGCCCTGTACCTGCCCTGGTCAGCAACAGGGTGCTGGGGAGCCCTGGGTGGTTTTGTGTAAACTGAGTGAACTCTGGGGCCACCTGCTGCTCTCCACCTCCACCCTCCCCCGTGGGGCCTCATCACACTTGGTGGTCTCCATATTAGCCCAGAGCGTGGCATGTTAGGTGCCCCTGAAATTGACTCAAGACTTAAAAAGGGCACTTGCCTGATATGCCAGGACTCCATCCCAACTCCCAAAGGAGGGCAGGAACTGCCCTGCCCGCCCCAGGTAGGTTTCAGCCTGACAATCTGATTGGACCTGTGCCCACTCTAGGTGATGGCCAGGTAGATTTTGAGGAGTTTGTGACCCTCCTGGGACCCAAGCTTTCCACCTCGGGGATCCCAGAGAAGTTCCATGGCACTGACTTTGACACTGTCTTCTGGAAGGTATGTCCTGGTTGGTTGGGACTCAGGGCTTTGGAGACTCAGGGGTTTGTAAAGGGGAGATGACCACTCCAGGCTTCTGTCCGCTGCATGTCTCTATTGGGGAGCCATGGGCTCACTGGGAGAGGCAGGTGTCGGTCAAGGATGCCGCAGGAATGAAGCAAGAGTTTCCAGTCCTTCAGAATCTGGAGGACCGTCCTTGGGCTTTTGTGACTGCAGGGTGTTGGGTGGGGTGGTGGCCAGAGCACTGTTCCTCCTCCTGCCCCAAGTGCGACATGCAGAAGCTGACGGTGGATGAGCTGAAGCGGCTGCTCTACGACACCTTCTGTGAGCACCTGTCCATGAAGGACATAGAGAACATCATCATGACAGAGGAGGAGAGTCACCTGGGCACAGCCGAGGAGTGCCCTGTGGATGTGGAAAGTGAGTGACAGGCCCCTGGGACAGCTCAGCCACTTGAGCAGAAGGACATACCAGGGGTTTGCAGAGTGGGCTGGCGGGGTGGGGGGTGGTTTCCTGTGTGTCCCAAGCTTTGTGTCCCTGTGTTCCCATGGGTTGAGACTGCGTGCCAAAGTGTAGGCAGCTTCTGATTCTACCGATTTGTGTCTCCTTCTCTCTGCTCCCTGGTGCTCCCCGTGGGTGGCCACAGCCTGCTCCAACCAGCAGATCCGCCAGACATGTGTCCGCAAGAGTCTGATCTGCGCCTTCGCCATTGCCTTCATCATCAGCGTCATGCTCATTGCAGCCAACCAGGTGCTGCGCAGCGGCATGAAATAAGTGCCACCTGGGCACCTGGTCTGGCACGTGCAGTGCTGGGCCCACTCCCACCCACCACCACCTGCAGCCCTTCTCCCTCAGCTGGCTCTGGACCAATATCCTGTGTATTTCGGGGCCTGGACATCTGGTGACCCCCACCCCTCTCACCCCATGGCCCTTGCATGGAGCTGTGGCTAGGCTGCGGAGAACCTGGTGGTGGCCCTGAGGACGGCCCCCGGCCCCTACACCATGCCCGTACCCCTACCTAGCCTGTATGTAGCGCTAACTCTTCCTGCTGTCCAGGGGCTCCTGGGAAATGAGGGCCTTGTACAGGAACCCCAGGACCCAGCCACTGCTGTGGTCTTTGTGCCCAGAGAGGGCACCTGCCTACCGCAGCTCTAATCCCTGAGGTTTTCCAGAGCTGTGGGCAGGGTGGAGGAGGTGGGGGCAGAAAGCTCCTCTAGAGAAGGAAACAAAGCTGGGTCTCTTGAGTCCTTTCCTCTGACCCAAACTAGCCCTCCTCCCCCATGTACCTGCTAGGGCCTGAGCCTGCCCATTTCACAGGTGAGGAGCCTGAGGCTCAGAGGGACAGATTTGGCCTCAGGTTTTCCTCAGGGATTTTCAGGAAGGGCACAAGCTCATGGTAGGATGGGGCATCTGAGATGGCCCTGAGGCCCCTGAATTTCTGCCCCCAACCCATCCTAGCAAAGGCCCAGTGACCAAGGGTATCCTGGTCCCCAGCACAGAAGTCAGAGCTGTAGTCCAGCTTAGGAAGGGAACAGAGCTAGGGCCAGGAGGCCTCAACTGGCCTGAGCAGCCTGTGTGATCTCCCCATTGGCCTGAGTACTCCTCCTGGCAGACCTTGGGAGGGCCCCTGGGCCAGCCCTTGGGTGGAGGAGCTGGCATAGTTCAACTCTGTCAGTGCCAGGAGGTGTGACCAAGCTATTCTCCCAAACCCAGGGCCCGCCTTCTGCCCCCTCCTCCCTCCATTCTTCTGCACCCTCAAGGCCAGAGACCCAGCTCCTGTCCCTGCCCCAAATATGCCATCCCAAACCTGTGGCACTAGCTCAGCATGGGAAGATGCAGGGGCTGCAAATTCTGCTAGGGCTGGGATGGCAGATGGAGTCCTTGCGCTCCTCTCCCCAGCCTTGGGGCCACTTATCACCTGGGCGACGAGGGAGCCACACTGGCACACCCTTTGCCTGGCTGAACTGAGCCTCTGCTGGTCTCTGTTGAAGAAGGGCAGAGAGGACAGATCACCCTGGACCTTGTCTCATCCCAGCCCTGCCTGTCCCCTGGAAAGGGTTGGAAGGAGGAGCTGAGAACACGGGTTTAGGGAAGCACAGCCAAACCAAGGGAGGCTTTCTTTATATACACCTGCAAGTTTTCTCCGTCTTCTCAAGACATTCCAGAAGGGCGGGTGGGTGAAGCAGAGGGTGAAGCTGCCCAGCACAGACTGGGACTAGGTCTGCAGCTGGTATGGGGGACTTTTGAGGCTTGGGGAGACCAGGCCTACAGTCTCAGAGGCTCTGGGGACATAACAGGCAGAGGGCTCGGCCTCCCCAGTAGGAGCAATTGTCTTTATTATGACAGATAAGCGCTGACCAGGTAGCAGGGGCAAGGGGCTCAACCCCACTGCACTCTTGGCTGCAGGGGCCACCCCCCGGGTGGGGGTGCCCTCAGGGATGGAGGCAGCTCCTGGACCGGCGGCCAGCCTATGGGGTACTGGAAGACAGTGGCTCTGATGGGTTCAGCCCTGGAAAGAAGGAGAAAGAGAATTAGAGCAGGTGCAACTGAGGCCTGGGTTGGAGCACAGCCCAGATCCAGCTCTCCCTCCCACCACCCTGGCTAGGGAGGGTCAACTGCCTGCATGGCCCTTCTGGAAACAGAGACTTGAAAACACACAGACCCTTAGAGGCAGCAACCTCCTCTCCAGGAACTGAGCCCAAGGAAACAGTGAGGTTGTAGGTAGATATTGAGCTACAAGAATGGCTTTGAGAAAAACAAAAATAACCTTAGTGTCCACCTGTGGGGGACTGATTAAATACATATGCACGTCCAGTGAAGAATGATGCTATGCAGCCTGTGTAAAAATTAGGCAGACATATATGCACTGATGAGGAGAGACATACTATGTGAGTAGGGAAAAAAGCAGCTTATAAAATAATGTATATAGCATGATACTATTTTTGTTTAAAGATATATAACATATATAAATGCATAAAAAAACCTGGAAGACACAGCAAAATGTTAACTGGTTCTATCTGAGTGGTGCAATTATGGGTGGTTTTTTTTACTTCTTTATACTTTCCAAAAGTTTTGCAAGCACGCAAGCCTTTGAAATCCGAAAAAAATATTGTCTAAAATGTTTTAAAAAGCCTCATTTCTCATGCTACTCATGTCCTTAACATTCACCTCTCCCAAACCACCACCCCAGGGCCCATGGGAAGTGCCATCGATGGAAAGGCATCTTCTGTGCCCAAACTGTGGTACCCTAACCTACAGGAGCTGACTGAGACGGAGGCAGCCTCCCCCCACCCTTTCAACTATGCCACATTCAGACTTGTCCATACCGGACCTCCCTCAGGCTACAAAGCACTTTGAATTCACCTGGGAGCTCGTGTATTGTCTCCTCGGGCTTGCAGTGCTCAGAGGGTAAAGACTGGGGTAGGAATGGCATTTTTTTACCCCAGTGCCCAGAGCCAGGCCTGACATGCAGAGGCGACACAGTAACTGTGTGCTGAATGACACAGTTATTCAGCTATACCAAAAACTCTTACAGACTAGGCACTATTGTGGACCAGAGACCAGGGCCTAGAAAGAACTCAAGAATCTCACATGAGACAGATGAGACAACTGAGAGGTGCAAGGAGTCCTCACTTGTCCAGGTGACGCAGGGGATGGAGGACGAAGGGCTAGAATGCAATTCAGACATTTCTCCCTGCCCCTTCAGTTGCCTTTGTTCTAGCCACACCCCACCCCACCCCATGCCCTAGCCTTCATGAAAGGTGAACCCTGGAAGCTTCTAACAGGCTTGGGGGCCCAGTGGCCAGCCCTCTGCAGAAAGAGAAGGGCCTGGGTTTTCTGTGAGAGGTCAGGACAGGTCTCAGGCCTCCGAGGTGGAGGCAGGGGTGGGCGGCTGTGCTCAGCAGCCCTGAGAGTTTGCCTCTCCCCACCCACTCAGCTTACCCTTCTCTGGGCCTGATAGTACAGGATCAAGGACTTCTGGGAGCCCTAACTGCAGCCTCTAGGATTCCCATTGTGAGAGGAACAGGGACATCCCCTACTCAATGGGCTTCCGCCTGCTGGAAAGCACAGAAAGCAGCTCTTGACATGATTTATGGTGCTGGGGAAATTTCATAAATAGAAGGTTGAGGGTGGAGGAGGCCACAACTGCGGGAGCTGGGGCTCTCTATGGAGTCACAGTGACAGTAGAGYTCCCCAAGGGGTGTGATCCTGGGAAGCCCCAGCCTCTAAGCCTCAGGTCCTTCCTCTAGCAAATGGGGCACATTTCCAGGCAGCTGGGATCCAGCTACTGGGTTCAAGGCTCAGACCAGTGTCCCTGCCTGCCCTGAGGCACCCAACAGAGAAAGGGCAACCCCTGAGTCTGCTCACAGATACCGAAGCCTTGCTAGGGTCCCAGATGTGCCAGGCCCTGGGCCTTACAGCCCATACCTGCAGCCCTGGCACAGAGTAGACAGACACAGGTACATGGGGTAGGACTCTACTTGAGGCTTCCAGCATGGCCTGTTTGCCCTGTGTGTAAGGACAGAAGCAGCTCCCTGGCAAATCCCCAGCTGTGGTCCTTACCAAAAGGAAATAGAGTCTTATGGAGGTGGATGGGCCAGAACAGTAGCTGTGGCCCAGAGAGGGGTATGTAGGGGAGATTAAGAGGGATAAAGTCACAATCAGAAGAGCCAACAATGGGAAGCAGGGCCGAGCATTGAACTGGTTGGGGATTAGTCTGTGTGTCTAAGGCCAGCTGCTCCCTCCCTCTGCCACTGTCTGCTCTTGGCAGATCCCTCAGGGTCAGTCTGTTGAGGGAATGAGCAAAAATGCCACCAGGCTGCACCTTCAAGAGCCTCCGTGCACCATGTTGACAAGGAAAGTTGGCTCAGCTCACTGTGTGTTGTGGGGTTCTGCTCAGTCTGTAGGTCTATGTGGTCCCAGGTGGGTCAGGCAGCCATCTGTTCCCCAGGAAGGAAACAGAAACCCAAAGAGGAAAAGGGGGCTACCTAAAGTCCTCAGACTGGTCCCCACACATTAATACTCAGGTAACAGGCATCTAGGCTGGCCACACTGCTCCCCTAAATGCACACACATGTAGTCACCATGCCCTGGGGACACCCACACTTGCTCAAGATTGTGAAGGGGAGCTGGGGCTAGAAGGGGCCACGTCTTAGAGTGCTAAAGCTCACAGGCTAGTGGGGTTGGCAGAGGCAGTTTTAGGCAGAGGAAACCACATGCATGGAGTTCCCAGAAATCACAAATGACTGTCCATCTAAGAGGCTGCTAAAGAGTCCACTGTGACTGACAGGCTAGGTATGACAGGTGATCAGGTGACCCCATGAGTCTGGTAGCCAGCAGTTAGATTCCCATAGGCCCTGTGAACTAGGTTGTAGAATCCAGGCCCTCCCAAAGTGGAGGTGGACTTGGGAGGGGTTAAGCAGGGGAGGCCCAGGGCCGGAGTGTGTTTTGGAAGCTGGCTGGGGCTGTAATATGGAGAATGAACTGGAAGAGCTCAGGGGAGGGGAGAGACCTAGGAGAGGGCTGTTATGGCCAGCTAGGAGAGCCACAATAGGACAACCCAGAAGCTGGAATCTAATTCCCTACAACCCCACAGGAGGGGTTCATGGACGCAGAAGCACAGCCCCGATGAGCAGAGGTGTCATGTTTCCCAAAACTACCCTGCAGGGAGAGGACTATGGGAGACCAAGGTAGCAATGGCAACAGCAAGAATAAAAGGTCACCTCCTTTCCAACAACTCTTTTTTCTTAARGCTGTACAGGTCTGTTCTGCCCAAAGAATGATTCATATTGGCTTGAAGCCTTCAGGAGGCAGGTGAACAGGTGGGGAAGGGGCAGAGAATGTTTGTGGAGAAAGCAGATCTCTTGGAAGTGCCCAGGTTGATTGGCCAGAGGAAAAGTGACCTGGCAGAGCAGTTTAGACCCTGCTCCCCAGAGCCCAAGGCAGGTTCCAGTTGTAGGCACCATTCCAAAAACTGCTACTGCCATATTAGCAGCTCTAATCCAGCTAGACTGTAGACCACAGGGTCTTCCTGGATCCTCCTCACAGCCCTAAGAGGTATTCAGGGTATAACTCACTCCCAGGAGACACCACAGGGCAAAAGCAGGGCTGTAAGTGGCCAGGACAACATGAGGTTGGGAGGAACTCATTCATATGGGACCAGTTCCAAAGAGTGGTGCAGAGCAGAGACTGAACTGAAGTGATCTCAGGAAAATGGGGATCCCCAGAACTCCCTAGTCAGACCAGCCCTCCACCACATGAGCAGAAGTAACTTGGCATTCAGGATCTGGATCCCTGGAAGATGGCTGGTAACAACAGGGGGCACCCAGATGACCAAAGTCACAATCCCTTCAGACAGGTCCAAAAGGCAGGGATGGCATACTCCAACATTTGAGTTTTGTCCAACTATATAGTTTTAAGGTAGGGATATACTGGGCACATATTTAGAATAAAGGTAAAATACAAAATTAACTTTAAAAGACCTTAATCATCTCTTTCAACTGGACCCAGAAATTTGCCTTCACCTTCTGGCACAGCCCCGAGGGAAGTCCATGGACTTCTCTGACCAGACCCTCTTGGCTCAGGTCAGGTTGTCATCCCATGAGACCATACCACAGAGCAACTAGGGCCTGAAGTGCTACTGCAAGATGGGGAATCAAGGTGGCCCAGGGTAGGGCAACTTGCACACAGTCATGTGCAGCTCACAAGCACATCCCTTGGTCCCCTTTTGTACCCTCTCTTCCTCCCATTTCCTCCCCCTCTCCATTACTGGCAGCGGGGAGCTCAGGAGCCCTGGACTTTGGCTGTGATGCTAGGTGGCTGCGGAAGCTCCTGCCTATCTCTGTGCTTCTCTATGTTAATGTATAGTGTGGGCTGTGTCTGAGAGGGGAGGGTCTGAGATGGCATGCAGCCCACATTTGAGGGCCCCTGGCCCAGCATGCTCCCTGTATGAGAAGTTCCTGTCCATTTTTGAGCATTCTGAGTGCTCAGGCCACTCCCCCTTAGGGAGGCGTGGGAGAATGATGTTGTCAGCCCCTGTACAGTCCCTGCTCTGCCTATTCCTAGCTGTGTGCCCTTGAGCAAGTTGAACGTCTCCATGAGCCTCAGTTTCCCATCTGTGGGGCCCTGGGACAGGCAGTGGATGATGGACCACTGGGAGCTTGGCCACCACAGCTCAAGTCCATCTCTCTAGCAATGGACTTAGTGCTGTAGAGTCAACCTGGCCAACACTTCCCCTCCCACCAGCACACACTGCCAGAGGGGGATGAGACATAAAAGGTGGGGACCAAGGACAGGTACCTTTAAATGTATACCCCCTCTGGCCAGTGCCTGGGGACCCAAGACCCTCCACTGTAGCCCTACTCATAGGGATCTCTGGAGGAGGGTAGGGGAAGAGTCTAACCATGGCCTTTGAATTTAGGAAGTTCATGGAGATTCCTCAATTTTAGCAAAAGACCAAAGGACAGGCTGCCTGGGGTCTTGCCCCCAGCAGCACAGAAACACCTGGGAGTCTATACCTGCTGCTCGGGGTTGAGCTCAGTCGCTTGGCTCTCTTCTCCAGCCAGTCCTCCAGGTGGCCCTCAGGGAGCTCGGGGGTGTCCAGAGGCCACTCCCTGGCCCGCCTCTCCTCTGTGGGAAATAGGGAGACAAAAGGAAGATGAGGGGAACAATTCTGCCTGCCTGAACCCCACCCTCCCGCAAAGTAACAGCAACTGGCCAGCTCGGGGGAAGTCCTGGGATGCCACAGCAATCTTCCAGAGAAATGCAGGCTGGTAGGCCAGGAGCACTGCTGCTGGCTTGTCCCTTTACTGCCCCTACTGCTTGAGCCTATCTGCATCCCATGACCTGGTGCTACAGGCCTGGCTCTGCTCCCCATTGAAGGGAGATAGCGACGGCTGCCTCCCAAGCTTTGGGGAGCTGGAAACAGGACAATGAGTATAAAGAGCCTAGCCCTCAGGAGGGGTTCAAATCTCAGGTGCAAGGGGTCAAAATCGGCAGTAGAACAAGGTTGAGTCTTGGTTCTGCCACCTGCCAGGTCTCCAGACAAGGCATGAGCCTCAGTTTTCTGGTTTTTCTTCTCATATAATGTTGTACAAAAAAACACTGCCATTGAACTAAAGCCAGGAAACAAATGGTCTGAGTTCATACAACCTGGGTGTGAGAGGGTGATGGGGTCTATCTCCAAGTGGTCTGGGATGGGCCATGGGCCAGAGGAAAACAAACTCATGGCATGACAACACTTGGGGGCTGGCCCTGGGCTCACTGCACAGGGCATCATTGCCTGGGGCATCATCATGTTTGACAGGTCAGGACACTGTCTCCATGAGGTCAAGCCATGTGCCAAGGTTACAGAGGATGTGGAAGAGCCAAGACCATCCACAATGCCAGCCTCCTTGGGCCTCACCCTATCTCCATCTCTACTAGATATGATCTCAGCCTGAGCTCCCCACCACAAGCTAACCATTCCCTGAGAGCCTGTGGCGCACGGGGAGCTGGAGACATCAGCACTGCCAGGACTTGCTGGCTGGTGCCTTGAGGCCTCACTTCCACCCAGAGAGAGCTCCTGGAAACCCGGTGTCAGTGCCAGAGCTGTTGTACTGGCTCTCCAGGGGAGGGCATAGAGCCCATAGGGTCCAACTGGGCAGAGGGAAGTGAAGCCTAACAAGGGATGAGGACAAAGATCAAAGTGCCCCAGGCATTCAAGAGCTCCCTAAGGCAGCCAGAGAGAGAAGAATGGATAGCAGCCTCCTGGGAGACCCAGAGTCAGTCTCTAACTCACTGTGGGGCTCTCTCAGGGTCCTATGGTCTGAGGTCTGAGTATTGGCCTTGGTTTCTTCATCTGTTCAATGAAGGGGCCATAGGAGATCAGTTAAGATGTCTAAGAGGGCCAGGTGCAGTGGCACACACCTGTAATCCCAGCATCTTGGGAGGCTGAGGCAGGAGGATTGCAAGTTCAAAGCCAGCCTTAACCACAATAAGGCACTAAGCAACTCAGTGAGACCCTGTCTCTAAATAAAATATAAAATAGGGCTGGGGATGTGGCTCAGCGATTGACTGCCCCTGAGTTCAATCCCTGGTACCCCCTATCCTGCCAAAAAATACCTCTTACTCCCCCTCCCCAAAAAAAGCCCTCTAAGAGGGAACCTCCTTGTTCTGTAATTGGAAAGCCAGCATTGAGCTGCCCAATGGCTCACAGGCCTGTTTCTACAGAAGCTGAAATTGCCCTGCCCCTCCAGAAGTCACTAGGCTATGAGGATCCTGAGGGAGTAAAAAGTGCTTTCTTCATTCCCCTTGCCCAAGTGCACTAAAGGGGATCTGCCAAGTGTTGAATAGGGATTCCTATGGTGCCTGATGGAGGGGGAGAGGGAGGGACCCACCACACCTGCCGGGTTAGTGTGTGGGCAGTGGGGCACTTTCAGAGCTCCCAGGCGGGAGCCATAAATTTTTCACTTTCAGAAGACACAGCTGTGTCTCTGACGCCCACCTCACATTGTGGAACTGGGGACTCCCTATCACCCTGAGCAGACCTTGGTCTGCCCCACATGATGGCTTCTACTGAGGGACAGGAGGGGAGGTGCAGAGCAGTTTCCCCAGTCACAGATCCCACATCTCTTGCCCGCACTCCATTCCCGCCCTGCATAGGGCCCCTGCCCAGACGCACCCTCCACCTGGATGCTCAGCTCTTGCAGGTCTCGCTCTGACATGTGGGAAAATCTGCAGTTGGAGCCAAAGTCACACTGGCCTGCAACAAGAAGACAGAGTTACTTGCCATTCAAGAAGGGCACCTATTACAGGCTGAGGGCACCCTGATAACGGGTTCTGACCTTTTAGAAACAAGGTTTTAGGGTCTCTGGTCCCACTCTCACTAGCAGTCCTGGTGGACCAAATCTGATCAAAGTGAGTCAGGACTGGGCTGCACAGATCTCTGCAGGCTGTCTCTCATCACCAACCCCTCCTCCCCACCTCCTTGAATTACATGTGGGTTCCTGAAAGAACACGCTTTCTCCTCCATGCCAGGCTGTTGCACATGCTGTGCCCCTACCTGAAGCCCCACCCGCCCGCCTGGCTTGCATGAGCAGCTGGACTGCTCCTCCAAAAGACCTCAGCAGGGACCGGAATTGTGGCTCAGTGGTAGAGTGCTTGCCCAGCATGTGTGAGGCACTGAGTTTGATCCCCAGGGACCACATAAAAATAAAAAACAAATAAAATAAAGGTATTGTGTCCATCTATAACAACAACAACAAAAATCTATTAAAAAAAAGACCTCAGGGGCTGGGGATGTGGCTCAAGCGGTAGCGCGCTCGCCTGGCATGCGTGCGGCCCGGGTTTGATCCTCATCACCACATACAAACAAAGAGGTTGTGTCCACCGAAAACTAAAATAAAAATTTTCTCTTTCTCTAAAAAAAAGTCCTCAGCAGCACCTTTGCTATGGAGGAACCAAAGTTTGGGTGGTTTTTCCAGGCTCAAACAAGGAAACCAAAGTGTCTGGAAATAACAGGAGCATGGTGGTATCCTACATCAGTGTAACCTCCCAGTGTCAAATGTACCTCAAAGCCAAGTCTATGGGAGAGCTCCTGATCTGCAGGCCTGGTGACTATTTGGGGGGGCAACACCATTTTCTGAGAAGAACACGGCCTTTCATCCAGCTTCCCTAGCTCACCCACAGTACCTCTCCCCAGGGCTAAGTTCCCTTACAAACCACTGTGGTTTTCCTCTTTGCCTTGGCTTCCAGGAAGCTCAGGGCCAAACTTTCTAGTACACAGACCTCAAGAGCAAACATGGAGACTAATTATTCTCCTGGCTTGTCTTATTTTTCCTACCCTTACTTTCATCTGTCTTTGCTGCCTTTGCTTACTAAGGTCTGTATCTCTTTGAAGTACAGTTGTCTTTGTGAGATGAGTACTGAGCAGTCAAATCAATACTTCTGAAAAGCTGAGGACTAGACCAGGGAAAGACCCAAATTCCAAACCATGGGGAGGCCCTGACTGACTGGTCAGCTGAAGCCGGGCTGCAAAGTGGACTCAGGATGGTGTCCAGAGTTGGAGAGGATACTCTACAGAGATCCACACACACAAGCCAGACAAGGTATTCTTGGTCCCTGAGGGGACCCAAACCAGCAGAGCACTTTACCTGTCAACAGGAACTTCCTGCAGGGCCGCTTGTTCTGCTCATCCAGCAAGATGGCAGCTGCATCTATAAGAGAAGAAAGGGACTGGGTTCAGATGGCTCCGCCAAGGAGGGAGGTAGAGTCTCAGGGAACTGAGGGAAGAAAAGAGCTCCCCACACATGGAGGAGCATTGCTTTGGTTGACCATAGAGGGGGATGCTTGGCAGTGGGATCCAGGGTGACCTCCATCCCTCACCTCACCTAGGGCCAGCCAAAGTCAAGAAATAGGTTTTAGGTCAAAGGTATTTGATTTTGACTGCACAATGGACTCACATAGGGAATTTTCTTTTTCCCCAACCAAACAGAGGGGAAGGGGAAAAAAAGCTCTTTTATTTCCATATAAAATCATTTTTGAAGGGGCTGGGGGTTGTGGCTCACTGGTAGAGCACTTGCATCACATGCGTGAGGCACTGGATTCGATCCTCAGCACCACATAAAAACAAATAAATAAAATAAAGATATTGTGTTCATCTACAACTAAAAAAATTTTTTAAAAAAATCATTTTTCGGGCTGGGGATGTGGCTCAAGCGGTAGCGCGCTTGCCTGGCATGCGTGCGGCCCGGGTTCGATCCTCCAGCACCACATACAAACAAAGATTTTGTGTCCGCCAATAACTAAAAAATAAATAAATATTTTTTTAAAAAAATCATTTTTCGGGCTGGGGATGTGGCTCAAGCGGTAGCGCGCTTGCCTGGCATGCGTGCGGCCCGGGTTCGATCCTCCAGCACCACATACAAACAAAGATTTTGTGTCCGCCAATAACTAAAAAATAAATAAATATTTTTTTAAAAAAATCATTTTTCAAGTTTCAGAACATCTTAGGGCTGGGAATGTAGATCAGCAGCAGAATGTTTGCTTAGCATATGTGGGGCCATGAGTTTGATTCCCAGCACCACAAAAAACAGCAATAACTGGCTTTCTCAGAACAACTTCTAGAAATTTTAGGGAACTTTAATCAAAACATAGGTTAACCAAGTGAGAACTGACATGTAGACATTATTTCGTCTCCCCATTCAAGAGTGTCATATGTCTCATGTATTATCTCCATCTTCTCTTTATTCCCTAATAAAATTTAGAAGTTTTTAAATAATTTTATTGCTCTTCTCTGTAAAAACTTGATCTGGCAGATGAATTCATCATTTTAGGGACTGTCAGTTAAAGGACATAGTTTTATGGCCCCCTGGTTGCAAATAGCCTGACAAATTATTATTTGGCTTAGCAGCCATGTTCTCAGCTGCTATACTGAATGCTCTCCAAAGATCTTGTTCCTCAGCTTGGTATTGAAAGGTGGTAAGAGGGTGCTCAGAAATGGCAATAATTCTTATTTTCTCCTCATGAATCCACTTTATAGTACTAATGTCCCCATTCTGCAGAGGGGTAATATTGAGGTTCAGACAGGAAAATGACCTTCCCAAGGGTACATGATCAGAAAGTGGCAGCACCAGGTTTGAACCCTGGTATGTGGAAATCTAGAGCCTTTGTTCTTTCCATGTGGCTGCTGATTTCCTGATGCCTGGATAAATGGCCCAGTAATGGGGAATGCCTCCCTTCAGGGCAGCTGGTGGCTGGGAAGGGAGAGGATCTGCTAGGGGCTGGGAGTTGGTTACAGCAGGATTCACTCCAGGGGGCCTGGCAGAGCCATGAGTGAAGCCAGCAATGTGGAGAAGGGTCCATCCATTAGCACCAGGCTTGTCAGGCTCAGTTCAACCACTAGAGCTAGAGACACCATGGCCTGACCTGCCTGTCGTTACTGGGGAAGCTGAGCTGGTGGGATTATGTGGATGTTTCCTAGGACCTCCCTGAGGCTAGTACCACTGAGGGAGGCAGGAGGACTGAGCCTAAGTCCCAGACAAGAGGCACTGGCTAGGTGGCTCAGTGTAGAAGAGTTCTATTCTGTGGTGCTGCTGGCCAGTGGTTCTCAACTCTGACATGCTTTAGGATCACCATGCAACTATTAAAGTACATGGACACCTGCACCTGCCCTTCTCAGGTTCTGCTTTAATTCATCAGCATGGAGGAGCATCACAATTGTTAAAAGCTCCTGGGGTCAGGCAGGGTGGTGCACACCTATAATTCTAGTGGCTCAGGAGGCGGAGGCAGAAGGATCACAAGTTCAAAGCCAGCTTCAGCAACTTAGTGAAGCCCTAAGCAACTCAGTGAAACCCTGTCTCTAAATAAATTACAAAATAGGGCTGGGGATGTGGCTCAATGGCCAAGTGACCCTGGGTTGAATCCCTAGTACCCTCCCCTGAAAAAAAAGCTCCTGGGTACCTCTAAAGTGCACCTAGGATTAAGAAAACCCAGCCTACCCTCTGCACAAAGAGGCCCCTGTTCTTCCACATGGTGTTCAAGGCTCCTTGTGATCTGACCTGTTGGTCCTTCTCACTCCATCTCCCAAAATTAACAGCTGCCCCTGGTGCCCCATGTTTATTTACCTAGTCATTTAGGCATTCATCTATCAAATGTTCACAAAGCACATCCTGTGTGCCAGGCACTATGCCAGGATGAGGATTTAAGTGGAGATCAAGTCAGAGCGGGTCCTTCCTTCAGTCCAATAGCCACAGTAATCCATGTGGATATAAATGGGGTAAACACTGAAAACGAACAAATGACCTGACCTGGCCTAGGGCATGGGAAGGGCATCCCTGAGGATTTATTGCCCGAGTTTAGTTCTGGGACAAAGGAACTATCTTGGGATGGGGAGGACCGAAGGAAGGACATGCCCACAGAAAGAACAGTACATGCAGTGATCAATGTGGCCAGAGCCAGGAGGGAGAGGCCAGCAGAACATGGAAACTCAGGCAGGACACACTATTGTGAGTGAGTGGGAGGTCACTTAGAAGGGCCTGTTTTATCCATCTTTGAATCTTCAGAGCCTGTCTGGTGACTAAGGACAGGCAAGTACTCATTGAGCACTGGCTGAATAAATGTGCCCATCAGATAAAAGGCCTGAGGCCACTCCTTCTAAGGATACAAAAGCATCATTCCTACTTAGCATAAACCCTAATGTGCAGAACAGTCATCATGGGATTACTGAGCCTGTATCACATCCCTGGGAGGTGGGTACTGTTGCTATGGCTGTTTTACATGTGACAAAATTAGGGCTACACTGTTAGTGATTCACAACTTGGGACTGAACCCAGGCAGCCTAGCTCCAGGCCCTGTGTTTGTCCTGACTGTGACCCATGGATCATCAGCCACTCTGAGGCCCTTGGAATTTGTCAAAGGCCATGAAGCTGGGAGCTGAGAACCAGTTGCTCAGGGTAAGTGCAGGCATAGGGAAACCTTTTGAACAAGAAGACAGCTCATGTGCCAGCTTGGCCACCAGCACCTGGGGACAATGAGTAAGGCAATCCACTGGTCTAAATTTTTAAAAATTTTGTTTTAGTTGTCAATGTTCCTTTATTTATTTATATGCAGTGCTGAGAATCAAATCCAGTGTCTCACACACGTTAAGCAGGTGCTCCACCACTGAGCCAAAACCCCAGCCCCAATGGTCTGGATTTTAAATTCATCATCTGTAAGTGAGGAAACTCAGGCCGCCAGCCCCGCTAGCAGAGCTGATTTGTTTTGTTTTGTTTTGTTTTGTTTTCTGGTCCTGGGGATCAAACCCAGAAGAGCTTTACCACTGAGCCACAGCCCTTTTTATTTTTTGTTTTGAGACAGGGTCTCACTAAGTTGCTGAGGGCCTCACTAAGTTGCTGAGGCTGGCTTTGAACTCACAATCCTCCTGCCTCAGCCTCCTGAGCTGCTATGATTATAGGCATGTGCTACCATGCCCAGTTCCCTGCACAGCTGTTCTAAGGACTAGAAGTGGCTGGGCATGTGAGAGGTTGATGGGAATGCAAGAGCCCTAAGAAAGGGACTACAGCACCTGCCTTTTCATTTTTTCTGTAAGGAACACAAGGACTTCTACCCATTATTTCTGGACTCCAGGGCCCAGCTATTATTGGCTGAGCGTCTGGGATAAGGAGCAAACGCCAAGGTGATCTTGGCCTAGCTAAGGCCAAAGCACAGCCCCTCACTGGGTTTGGAAGACAGGGAGCCTGATGTCAGGATCAGAGATTTCTCAGACAGCTAGGAGCCCCCACTGCCCTGAAATTCCCCATCTGTCTCCATTCCCAAACCCTCCCAATCACAGCTGTGCTGGCCCTGCTGAGCAGCCTTGTTGGCCACCTTCCTCCCCAAACCTAGAAGCCTCAGTTTCTTTGCCTGAAATAGGGAGCATCTGGAAAACGCTTTTTTTTTTTTTAATGGTGCTGGGGATTGAACCCAGGGCCTTGTGCATGTAAGGCAAGCACTCTGCCAACTGAGCTATATCACCAGCCCTAGGAGAGCTTTAAAAACACCAAGCCTAAGCCAGGTGTGGTGGCGCACACCTATAATCCCAAGGCTCGGGAGGCTGAGGCAGGAGGATGGAAAGTTCAAAGCCAGTCGTCTCAGCAACTTAGTGAGGTCTTAAGCAACTCAACCAGACCCTGTCTCCAAATAAAATCTAAGTGCCGGGTCTGGTGGCACACACCTGTAATCCCAGTGGCTCGGGAGGCTGAGGCAGGAGGACCACGAGTTCAAAGCCAGCCTCAGCAAAAGTGAGGCACTAAGCAAATCAGTGAGACCCTGTTTCTAAATAAAATACAAAATAGGGCTGGGGATGTGGCTTAGTGGTTAAACGCCCCTGAATTCAATCCCCAGTACCAAGAAATAAAAAATACTATGCCTAAGCCAGGTGTGGTAGCACATGCAGTAATCTCAGCAACTTGGGAGGCTGAGGCAGAAATTCAAGCCAGCCCGGGCAACTTGGTGAGACCCTGTCTCAAAATAAAAAAATTAAAAAGGGGATAGCTAGGTATGTAGCTCAGTGGGAAAGTACTTGCCTAACACATGCAAGGCCATGGGTTTCATTTCCAGTACTCAAAAAAGAAAACAAAAAAACAAAAACAAAAACCATGCCTAGTCTTTATTCACCCAAACCCAGTAGGGTAGGGAGATCACTGTTACCATGACCAACTAGCCTTATTTATTTAAAGGTCTCTAAGTGCCTAAGAGAGTCACTGAGAAGTAAATGACAAACCATAGCAAGCACAGCATGTAGCAGGTACTCAATAAAGGCTCACTCCCTTCTAGTGAATTTTGAGTCTCAGAACAGAGAAGTCCTTCTGTCTCCCTTCCCCTTTCTCCTTGGCCACCTGAACTCAGTTTGTTCCTCCCAGGCTCTGAGCCCTGTCCTAGAAAACTGCTCCCTACCTGTCCAAGCACCTCTGCTGCATCACCAAGCTTCCTCTCCTTTCAGCTCAGCTCCTCCCTGGCCACACTCTGGCCCCTCCCTGACCATTCCTTGATGTGCACATCTAGTGACAGCTATGTAGCAGCATAACTCCCATCCACAGGCATCCTGGGGGCTAGGCCATGATGGATGCTTCTGACCAGAGCTCTTTCACTCCAGTCACACCTGCTTTGCAAGAGTCCCCACCCCCACCGCAGCAGTTGGGTTATTCATTCCTCCCTCCAGCCAATCATTCAACAGACTCTTCCTGCACCACACTGTTTACCCCACACAGAGTTCTTGCTGGCAAATGTAGGCCTGGCCACGTCACATCTGTCGAAAGCTCTTCAGAAGCTGCCTTCTGCCCTCAGGACAGTGCAACCTCCTTGCTGTGGCCTTCACAGATCTGAAGGATGTAGTCCCTGCCCATACCCAGCTTTGGCCCCTACCATTCTCCGCATCACTGTCTATACCCTCTCCTCCCACGGCATCCGATGCTTTGCTCATGGCTACCTGTTTCAGAGTCTTCTTTGCATATCCTTGGCCCCAAATGACATGGCTGGCCCTATTTCAGCTGCTGGCTCAAACATCACCTCCTTGGAGAAGCCTGTCTGTTATCTGTATCCCAAGGATGTTCCACTGTGGGTGAAGCACAGAGCCCTCAGTCAAGGTCATCGGCGAAGGGACCTTCCATTTTGGATTGCCTCTCAGTCTCTGGGGCTCTCTCCTTTTTTTTGGGTACTGTTTCTATTTTTTTTTTCCTTAGCATGTACTCTATCACTGAACTACATACACCCCAGCCCCTTCCCCTCTCTCTCTCTCTCTCTTTTTTTTTTATACTGGGGATTGAACCTATTTTTTATTTTATTTTGAGACAGGATCTCATTGAGTTGCTTAGTGCCTACTTTTTGCTAAAGCTGGCTTTGAATCCATGATCCTCCTGCCTTGGTCTCCTGAGCTGCTGGGATTACAAGCGTGTGCTACCAGGCCCAACACCTTCCTCTTTTGGATCCTCAAAGAGCCCAGACTGACCCACCATGGTGCTAACCTAATGGTTGGAGGGATCAGCATGCGAGCTCCAGCAGCCTGGCCACAGAGCCCGCATCACCCACCTCGGAACATGTCGTACCACACCTTCTTGGCCTTGAGGTGCTGCAGCCCATTCAGGTGCTTCTTTCGGTTGTGGAGATTGTCCTGGAAGGACCGGTCACAGTAGTCGCAGAAGTATCGCTTCCCCATGGCCGCCTACACCAGGTGCTGAGGCTGCCTGGAAAGTCACAAAGCTCTTGGTCAGACCTTTGGAGAAAAGGCCAGAGGTCAGAGCTCTGGGGACAGGGCCCCTGACTGAGCACTCCCTGAGGGTCAGGCCTGAGCCAAGCTTTTCTTAAGGTGCCTTGTACCATGAGGAACTTCTAGAGCTAACACGTCTAGTTCTAGAGGGATCTTTTAATTCTGATGCCCAGCCTCCAACCTCAGCCAATTAAAACAGAACCGGGTATAGCACCTGTAATTCCAGCTACTCAGAGGCTGAGGCAGGAGGATTGCTACTTCAAGGCCAGCCTTGGCAACTTTGTGAGACTCTGTCTCAAAAAAGGCTGGAGAGGGGCTGAGGATGTGGCTCAAGTGGTAGCGCGCTCGCCTGGCATGCGTGCGTCCCGGGTTCGATCCTCAGCACCACATACCAACAACGATGTTGTGTCAGCCGAGAACTAAAAAATAAATATTAAAAAAATTCTCTCTCTCTCTCTCTTAAAAAAAAAAAAAAAAAGGCTGGAGATGCAGCTCAGTGGTACAGCACCAAGTTCAATCCCTAACCACAAAAACAATAACAACAAACAACTAGAACCTCAGAAGGTAAGCCCCAGACTTTAGTATTTTTTATTTATTTCATTTTATTTTTTGGTACTAGGGATTGAACTGAACCCAGGGATGCTTAATCACTGAGCCACATCACCAGCCCTTTTTATTATTTTTTTAAATTTTGAGACAGGATCTCACTAAATTGCTCAGGGCTTTGCTAAATTGCTGAGGCTGGTCTCAAACTGCTATCCTCCTGCCTCAGCCCCTTGAGTTGCTGGGATTATAGGGCATGCACCACCATGCCTGGCTTTAGTATTTTTTTTTAAGCTCCCAGGTAATTCTAATATATAGCTAAGCTGGAGGACCCCCACTTTATACCCTCTGGCCAGCCTCCCTCATCCCTAGCACACCTCTGACTTCTGATCTCCTTGTTCTGGTTTTCTCCATGCTGGCCCCATGGGTCTTCTCCCTGCCCCTCACACAAGCCAGGAACATGGCTGCCTCCAGGCACATGGGTTTGTATCTGCTGTCCCCTTGGCCTGGATGCTCTCCCTGTGATGTCTGCCTGCCATACTTGCTTCCTTGGTCCTTTTTTTTTTTTTTTTTTTTTTTTGCTGGCTAGCTTTGAACTTGTGATCCTCCTGCCTCAGCCTTCTGGGTTTACTATGCCCAGCCAACAGAGGGGTCTTAAGACCTTACAATGTTCTCATTTCCCTTTGGGACTGAATGAGGACCTGCCACCTAAGAATTCAGTAATCTTCTTGGGAAGCTATTAGCCTCTGCTGCCTAAGCTCTCTGGCTTAAAGGACACCCAGGAACATGATTTTAGGGGACTTGCATTTGCATTCTTTTGACCAGCTATGTGACCTCAGACAAATCTCTCTTCCTCTCTTGAATCTCTGGTTGTCCCAAAGGAAAAATGAAAATTAACTCATTTATTCCACAAATACTTGATTGCCTACTCTGTATCAAGTACTATTTTAGGTGCTGGGGCCCCAGCAATAAATAAAGCAAAAATATATCTGCCTTCATGGATTTATATTCTTGTCGGGAGAGAAAGACAATAAACGATAACAAGTAATTTATTATTTCAAAGGCGATAAGTGCTATGAGGAAAAATCAAGCTGGGAATGGAGACAGCTAAGGGGAGAGTTCTGCAATTTTAAATAAAGTGATTACTGTAGATTGTCAAAAAGATAGCATTTGAGCAAAGATCAAAGGACTGAGGGAAGCCGGGTGCAACAGCACATGCCTGTAATCCCAGCAGCTTAGTAGGCTGAGGCAGCAGAATGACAAGTTCAAAGCCAGCAGTAGCAACTTAGCAAGGCCCTGAGAAACTCACTGAGACTCTGTCTCTAAATAAAACACAAAAAGGGCTGGGAATGTAGCTCAGTGGTTAAGCACCGAGTTCAATCTCTAGTACCAAACCAAACCAAACCAAACCAAACATAAAAACCCTGTCATTGTGACCACAGCTGCCATTCCTTTCCAGGAGATCTGCAGCCCATGGTGGGTGGCAATTCTATGGCTTTCATGCCCAGTGTTTGGGTCCTCCAGCTTGATGTCACAAGATCAGAGGGAGGATGTGTCTACTTGAGGCTGTCAAGTGGGACGTGCAAAGGCTGAGCCTAGAACAGTCCCTCAATCTGGGATCTGGTCCCTCACTTAACAAAGCAGGCTTCTGAGGCCCAAAGGAGTATAGGAAATGATTTCCCTGAGGTCAGAAGGTGGCTACCCAGGCTGGCAGCCAAAATCCCAGATTCCCAGGACCTGGCAAATAAGGATGAAGCTGGGACCTGAGCCACAGAGCAGACGGATGAGTGGGGAGGTAGAGGGGACAGATGGGGGAATGCTTCTTGGGAAGAAAAGACTAGGGATAGATGCAGAGACAAACAAGCATTCTGGGCAGTCCAGACAGCCAAGCAGGTTGATGGAAAAAGTTGCTCCTGCAGCAGACAGGGGCAGCAGCCATTAAGTCAGGGGCTGTAATGGGATCAGGAACAGCCAGTCATTCCAAATGAAAACGTATAAAATCTCTCTTCTCCCATTACTGCTGAGAAACCACATCTCAGACATGCGGACTTGATATATTAAATTTGGCAGCTCTAATACATTCCGTCTTGCCAATAAACTTATAGGAATTGGATTGAAATTGTAAGAGATGAACGCTTAACGGCCCAGTGCTTAACCAAACCATTCATGGAGCTTGAAGCTCCAAGGAGCAGCTGATTCTGGAGAGTAATGGGGAAGGGAGCGGAGGAGGGGAGTGTCCCTCTGGGAGACTGACTCAAACAATGGCTCTGAAGCAGACTGAGCTGGACCACACAAGGCACTGAGAAGCTGGCTGTGTAACCTTGGGCAAGTCACTGTTCTCTCTAGGACTCTATTTCACTGTGAGAATATGAGGCAGTGGGTCTAAATGATCTGATTATTTCAGAAGTGTACAGAGAAGTTTATTAATGCGAATGGATTATAAAGGCTGGGGATGTAGCTCAGCTATAGAGCATTTGACTAGCATGTGCAAGGCCCTGGGATTGATCCCCAGCACCACTAAATAAATAAATAAAATAACAAAGACCACTAATTGACTAGCAAGTATTCAATAAGTGTTAAACTATTGTTAGAGTTAGTAGTTTATTGAGCACCTACTATGCTCTAGCACCATGCTAAGAAATATATACATCATCTCATTTGATCCTCAGGATAACCTGTGGGAATAGGACCTATGATGCCTTTTCAGATGAGGGCATAGAGACTCCAAGATGTGAAGTGACTTGGTCAAGATCACACCACTAGAAAGCATCTGAGCTGGGCTTATAACCAGGCAGCAAGGCCCACACTCCTAACCATTCAATCCAAGTCTCCTCCAACAAATCAGACCAATGGCAGTTTTCCTTCATTATTCACTCACTACACCCCCAGGACCATGCTGGCTCTTTGAATTCTAAGAGGTATATATTATAAACCTACTTACGAATGGGAAAACTCAGGTTCAGAGATGTGCTGTGAAGTTCCCTGGGTCACATGTATAGGAAGAGCAAAGACAGCTTCAGGGTGGGAAGGTCTGTTCATGCCATCTAACTAACTATCCCAAACCCCAACTCACCAGGAAATTGAGGCCACAGGCAAATGTCTGGCCATCCTGGTCAGGTCTATAGGTCTACAGGACCCCACATTGTAGTTCCAGCTCTGCCAGGTGAGACTGTGTCCATCACTTGCCCTCTCTGGGCCTTAGCTGCACTATGTGTAAAGTGGCAAGAGGCTGGCTGGTGATCTCTAAGGACCTCTGCATTTCTAATATCCACTGATCAGATGAGAACATGCCCATGATAGTGCCTTTTGCCCACTTGTCCCAGCTGGGGACAGCATTGAGCACAAGGCCCTGCAATTATATGGCCTCATACAGCTAGGTTGCATGAGGCAAGGAATAAGGGCTGGGCTCTGGAGTCGACCTCAGGGCTTAAATCCTGCTTTGTAATTTGGTGATCTTGATCATTATTTAACTTCTGGCCTCAGTTAATGCTATGATAGTCATACTCCTCAAGGGGTTGCTGTGAGGATCAGATCATCCACGTGCATGCACAGAGCTGAGTCCATTAGAGATGCTCAAGGAATGTTGGCCATCACCATCTTTATTATTGGCTTCCAGAAAACAAAGGCTCAGACAAGAAACTGAATGTCAGTGCCCAACTGACCTCTGGGGCCAGCTGGTCCACATTACAAATGAGGAAAGGGAAGCCAGGAGAGGGGAAGTGAGTCCCCCAAAGCCCACAGCACAAGAGGCAGAAATGGAACTGAAACATGGTAGGCCCAGTCCCCTGCCCTGCACAATAGCTCTGTAGAACCCCTCTGCCTGCAGATGGCACTGGGGGCCAGTGTTTCCCACTTACCTCATGAGCTTGTCCCCATAGTCATGTGCCCAAAGCCCAATTCCTGGGCAGGAATTGGCTTCTGCAAGGTCACCGCCCTAAGCACCAACTTCTAGACCAACTGCCAACTGCCTCCCGCTTTAGTGCACATTAGGAAAAGGTGCGACCTGCAGAAGCCTTTCGACAGACACAGTGTCTTGCCAGCTGCATACCTTGACAAACAGAATGTTGGCCAATTTCAGCTCCAACTCACCTGCTAGCCAGGTGTCTGCACAAGACAACCAATACTACCACACTGCAGCCCTGAGTGGGGGCCAGGGACCCTGAGTAAGGGTCCAGGGACAGGGATGGAGGGGGACAGCTGAAGCATCTCTAGGTGGTGGGGCCCAAATACCAGCAGGGAGTGCTGACTAAGCTGGCCTCCTCTGCTATGATTCATCCTCATCCTCTGAGGGTGGTGTGTTTAGCAGCATGTGAGCAAGCCCCTGTCCCCTGTCTAGAACACAGAATGATCCAGCCCCACTTTCCCACTGGGAACACAGGTGGTGCCACCAACTCACTTCCAGGGACAGGTCTATGGCTGAGACAACATTTGCTG